AGGTCTAAACCAGGTCTAAACCAGGTCTAAACAGCGTGGAGTTCTTTGTCAGTCCTTTCGCCCGCGGTCACCTGAAGGTCTATGAGGGCGCATCTCCGGCGTTTCACCACTGCTGATATCGAGGTGATTTTAGCGAATTTGAATGAAGAAAAACCCACCACTTCAATCCAGGTTAAAAAAACACTAACGCGCGTTACTCACATTTGTACCGAGTAAAATATTACTATTTTTATCCCTGTAATGCCGAACATTACTGCGTTACAGCAAAAAGTAATGCATTACTGTAATTCGTTACTTTTATAACGCGTTACTCCCAACACTGCTTTTAAAATGTAATCCCCTACAGATTACAGATTACACACCCCAAAATGTAGTTTGTAACGTAATCCATTAAATTACTTAAAGTGAGTAACGTAATCTGATTACTTTGGATTACTTGATATTGTCATACCTTTTAAAACTACATGAATGTAGAAACCACATCCTGAAAATTCTTGTTTGTTCTCTTCAAATTGTCTGTTGAGCCCAAGTCTCCAAGAATAAGCGACTGTTTACTGTAGAGAAGCAAAGACCAGGAAATCTTAACATAAATTTTCTTTGCTAAAAGAAAATAAAAAGTCCAGTCTTTCCTTAACCATATTAAAAATATTAATGATAGAGAAATTATTTTTATATAAGATCACCTTAAATTATGTCCAACCTACTGTTAGGTATCATTGTTTAGACCTGGTTTTAGTCCTGGTTTAGTCCTGATTTTAGACTTGGTTTAGTCCTGGTTTTAGTCCTAGTTTAGTCCTGATTGTAAGACCTGGTTTAAGTCCTGGTTTAGTCCTGGTTTAGTTCTGGTTTAGACCTGGTTCAGTCCTGGTTTTAGTTCTGGTTTAGTCCTGGTTTTAGTTCTGGTTTTAGTTCTGGTTTAGTTCTGGTTTAAATCCTGGTTTAATCCTGGTTTTAGTCCTGGTTTAATCCTGGTTTTAGTTTTGGTTTAGTCCTGGTTTTAGTTCTGGTTTAGTCCTGGTTTAATCCCGATTTTAGTTTTGGTTTAATCCCGGTTTTAGTCCTGGTTTTAATTCTGGTTTAGTCCAGGTTTTAGTCCCGGTTTTAGTTTTGGTTTAGTCCTGGTTTTAGTCCTGGTTTTAGTCCTGGTTTAGTCCTGGTTTTAGTCCTGGTTTTAGTCCTGGTTTTAGTTTTAGTCCCGGTTTAGTTCTGGTTTTAGTCCTGGTTTTAGTCCCGGTTTTAGTCCTGGTTTTAATTCTGGTTTAGTCCTGGTTTTAGTTCTGGTTTAGTCCTGGTTTTAGTCCTGGTTTAGTTCTGGTTTAGAGACACGATCCATGCAGCAAACACTAAATCCATTCAAATCTTCGGCGTCACTTTGTTTTGCTTCGTTCGGGCTTTTCAAACCTCAAAACTGCGACGCGATTGGTCCTCTCGCTGTCGGGCAAACTTGAACGTTACCGCGGGAATTTTTCAAGCCGTTTTCTCGCGCCCACGTTGTGCTGTTCAGAGTTACATTCGGTCTGGTGACATACTTTGGTGTAGTTCTGGTTTAGTCCTGGTGTAGTTCTGGTTTAGACCTGGTTTAGTCCTGGTGTAGTTCTGGTTTAGTCCTGGTGTAGTTCTGGTTTAGACCTGGTTTAGTCCTGGTCCAGTTCTGGTCCAGTTCTGGTCCAGTCCTGGTGTAGTCCTATTTCAGTCCTGGTTTAGACCTGGTCCAGTCCTGGTTCAGCCCTGGTTTAGTCCTGGTCCAGTACTAGTTTAGACCTGGTCCAGTCCTGGTGTAGTCCTGGTTTAGACCTGGTCCAGTCCTGGTTTAGGTCTAAACTAGGATTAAACCAGGACTGAACCAGGACTAAACCAGGTCTAAACCAGAACTGGACCAGGACTACACCAGGACTAAACCAGGTCTAAACTAGGATTAAACCAGTTCTAAACCAGGACTAAACCAGGATTAAAACCAGGACTACACCAGGTCTAAACCAGGATTAAAACCAGGAGCAAACCAGTTCTAAACCAGGACTAAACCAGGATTAAAACCAGGACTAAACCAGGTCTAAACCAGGACTAAACCAGGATTAAAACCAGGACTAAACCAGGAGCGCAGACTAAAATAAAAAGTTATGCAGTGCAATTTAAGTAGATTTTACTTTTACTTTTACTTCACTACATCTGACAGTCTTTATTTGTACTTTTTTTCCTACATTTTGGAACAAGACTGAAAAGTAAAAGTATTTTGAAAGTCCAGGTCTGTTTTTTGAGGCGGTAACAACATTCTAACACGAATTAAACCTCGCACGAGTCGATTTTGTTTAATATATAGATACAGATCGACCCTTTAACCGCTGATGGAGATGGAGCATTCTTCGGAGACAGTTTCTATTTCTTCATCCTCTCCCTGCCCGGCCCCGTCTCCTCGGAATTCTCTGGAAAGCTGAGATAGGAGCCGAGTTTGTGGTTCGATTTCTTCCTACAAATCTCTCCCTGTTGCGAGTCCCAGCTCCCGTGTAAACCGTATGTTTGCGTGAACCTCCGGAGACTCGCGCTTGAAAAAAAACTCTTATATTTCTGCAGTTTATTCGCGATAAGCAGCGGGGACGGGTCTCTATTTCGGGATCATAAGCCGCTTGCCGGTATAGGTAGAGTCTTAGCGCGTTCTTCGAGTAAATAATGTAGAGTAAGTGGATTTGGTGTATGGATTCGGTCTTATCGCGCGGGGAAACGGTCGAGGGTTTTGACTGAGGATTGGTGGTTTTATTCCTTTGAGTTTGGCTGAATAGTGAGTGCGCGATCTCTGTGAACGGGTTTAAATAGATTCAAAAGTTCGGACACTTTTTCGTTTACCGTAAAATCCGGACTATGGAGCGCGCCTGAACGTAAGCCGCAGGTGTGTCTTAACGTCTTCAAGAACGTTTTCGAGTTCGAGGCCTCCGAAAGCTTTTGTCGTCTTTTCGCGTCGAGTCAGTTCGTCGCGCTGCCGTCGTCGAAATCTCGCCATCGACTCACTGACGTCGAGTTCACGTGCAGCAGCTCAGTTTACTTCTTCCGCAGACACATTTCTTTTCGTTTATTTCGTTATTTCTTCGTGTGTTTTCCATGAGGAGGGTGTGTGCATGAAGCGCAAAATAACTGTTCAAAATAAAGGTCTGCGCGGTTCCACTCCCGCCCATTCTCGCAAAAATTTTAAATTTTCAGTCTCGCTCCCGCCCGCAAGTCCCGCAAGATGGGGAGGTTCACTTTCTTAACCTGTTACCACCCACCTCATTTTGGTGTGTGCACAATAGCACTACATACCCAAATGCCATAGCTTATTAAAAGAAAACCTTAGAACCCACATGCTTGTGTGAGGCACCATTTTAAAGCTTAGGCCTTCTAGTTTCTGTAGATATGTACATGAAGACTGTGAGTGCTGCCTAACCTACAGTACAGTCAATTAAAATTGAAAAAAATTTGTATTTTTTTGCTTCAAAAAAAAAATAGAAAAGAATAAAGGCCTTAGCTTGGTCATACTTCATACTAGGCATTTGTGACTCACTACACTCATTGTTCAAGTTGTTGGCAACAACTGTGTAGAATTTCAGATCTCTAGGACAAAGGGTTTTGATGCTGTGAGCCTTTGTGTAAACAAAATGACAATTCGGCACAAGATTGCTAAATTTGTGCCAAAATAATAATAATAATATAATAATAATAATAATTGTTATTATTATAATACTAATTCTTCTGAGCTTTAGGCATGTTTTCTCAAGAAAAAAAAACTAAAAGTAGCCAAAATTGTCCTCCAAGTGGAAGATCTGCTGCTTCTATAGCACTGCCCGCACTGCTCCCTGTCTCCCTCGCTCTTACGCTTATAAACACAGGGTCTGTTTCCAATACAATCTGAATGTCCCACCCACCGTTTGAAAGCTCTGGTGATAGGCTAAAACAATATGTCAATCACTTTCTGGAAGATCCAATGACTGAAGAGATTTCCCGTAAACAAACTGATGATGCGTGCGTAAAGCCAGGAAGTACGTGAGTGCGTTAGCTTCTTCAGCGGCTTGTCCCAGCTAAACCCCGGCACCGACAACAGCGGGGAGGGTCTCATTTTGAAGCTAAGAGTGTGAGGAAAACAAGCGTACCCAACAGTGCTAGCAAACCTGCTAGAAACGCAGTGGAAGAAGGGAGAGAAGACTTGAGAAGACTTTTAAATCAGCACTTTTAAATCTGAATTCTTTCTATTCTGACCACAATGATTCACTCTAAGATTTTGTCAAGACATTTAAAAAGTAAAAAAAAAATTACTAAATTATTTTCTACAACTCTTACATACTCGGGACTTGACTCGGACTTGAGGTCAAAGACTTGAGGACTTACTTGAGACTTGAAAAACAAAGACTTGGTCCCACCCCTGCTACAAAATAATAAAAAAACTAAACAAAAAATGCCAACTAATTTTGATTCTGAACTCTAAAAAAATAATTTAAGTTAAACGCTGATAAGCTACGGAGTCCCACTGGTGCAAAACTGAATTTTTTTTTTTGCAGCCTTGAGGTTCTTATGGTTTAGAATCACTGATTTAAGCGACTGAGTTTGGTTCTTGACAGTTTCCAGCCGGTCGGGTCTTGGTTTAGTGCTTACACCGCTAAAGGGAATACAACATTTGAGCTCTGACCTCTGGTGTTAGCACATCACTTCACACCATGTTCACACGGCCAGAAGAAGAAGAAATAGAGCTACGAGCCGCAAAACGATGTCAAGCTTTTTCCACGGTAATAATAATGGGGAAAACGATTTAGAGACGCAAACAAAACCAAAAAACGGACACTTGAAACGATGTTAGTTCGTGTAGGTGGATTTTTGGGGAACACAACTGTCCAACCAGAGCCGCACTAAAGGGGTTTCAGTCACGAGAAATGGTTAGAAATGTTAGAAATGAATTTGTATTTTTGTTCAAACTGTTGTTCTTATTATTATTATTTAGATTTTGGCTGTTAGTGACCAGAGAAGGGCCGAAGTGGACTCACCATTTCCAGGCTCACACTCCTCCAGGTCCTCGTCATCACTGGGACATTCGGCTGAAGCTACAAGCAAGTCATCTGCGTTCTGAAAATACAGAAAAGAACAAGGAAAAATGTTAAGTACAAATGAGGTTACACGTAAAAAAGACAGGCCTGTAAGTTATGCCATTTCTGTTTATGTTTGAGGGAAATATTGACTGTGGAACCACCTTTACTGCAGGTTTTAAAAGCACATCTGGGCCCAGTCAAGCAGAAGTAAACAACAAGGCCAAAAATTCAAGTTAATTCATCTGATATAAAAATGTATTGAACAGATACATATGTACTCTAGTTTATGAAACTGTTGACCTTTTTTCTGTGCCATTTTTGGTTGTAAAGTTCCATATGTTTTAAACAGACCATGAATGAAACATGGAACAAAAATTATTTCCCAAATTTCAAAGACCCAAAAATCATGTAAATAAATGGATGTATTTCATCATATCTTGTGTTATTTTCCATCTTTGAACTGTTGATGAAGGTTCATGATTTAAAAAAAAAATGTATTTAAAATGATAAAAATTTGCTTGGAAGGACTGACATATTTTATAGAAATAGTTTCCTTTCATTTGAAAGTAATATTAAAGTATTTGGAAGAAAAAAGCGACAAATGATGTAAAATCCTGCACCTTCTACTTGTTTGTACAATTTTTCCCTCCGTTACTTTTCCCTCCATTACATGACCTTTCTTAATAAAAAAATCTCATGAGTCAAAAAAGTAAGAAGTTTTTCAACCTAATCTTGTACCATATGGTAGAAAACTATATGAAGCAAATATTCAAACCAGTTTGTTAAGGATATGTAAGTGAGAACCAAGAGTTATCACTGTTTGCATTTATTGACCAAAAAGTGCCGCATATTTCATTCCCTCCGTTACCGACATGAGTTTTTAAATTTTTAATCAACAACTTGAAAGAATTTCACAGGTTTAACTTGACCCTGTTGGAGTGTAACTCTTTCCTACATTCTGATACTTTACTTATTTCAATAGTCCCTCTAGTTTCTGAATAAGAGACATTTGAATGTCAAAAATCTGCCCGTTTCCCTCCGTTACTTCTTGACTTGACCCAAATGAATAAAACATTTGATTTATTTTGTGCTTCCTGGACACTCAAAGGCTACGTTCAGACTGCAGCCTGAACTGACCCAATGTTCCTGTATCTGATCTTTTAATGACAGTCTGAACCACACAGATCCAAATTTTTCAAATGCGACCCAGGCCACTTGGATATGTGCTCCTAAAACCGATACATATCTGATCTTTTGACATGGGACTTCAGTCTGGGAGTCCCTGCTTAGACTGCTGCCCCCGCGACCCGACCCCTAATGGATGGACTTCAGTCTGAACGGTCAGGTGGGCCTTGATTTTCCATTTATTAAAAGCTTTTCATGACACCCAAAGCAGTTTACAACTAACACATTACACATTTATATTAAAAACAGATGAAATGGAAATGTTTTGAGAAGAGATTTGAATTGATCAGTGGTTTCATCAGTTTGTACATGTGGAGGGAGCGTGTGGTCTGCAACCTGGAGCGGAGACAAGTGAGCTGAGAGAATCAGGAGGAGCAGAGTGAATTTGAGTGACAATTTTCTTCATTATTTGTCTCCAAAACCAAAATGAAAAAACAGATAACAATTCGTTTTTTCAGTTTCTGATTTTGTGTTTAAATGAAAAATGGGGGAAAAAAAGGCTGTTTCCATTACTTAAACTGTGATGCCGGACATTTGTGCCGCATATGAACTGAACCAGAACTGAACCAGGACTGAACCAGGACTAAACCAGAACTGAACCAGGACTGAGTGTCAGGACGGGCCGCGTAGGACTGACTCCACGCTCCACGGGGTTTTAGTCCTGGTTTAGTCCTAGTTTTAGTCCTGATTTTAGTCCTGGTTCAGTCCTGGCTTAGACCTGGTTTAGTCCTGATTTAGTCCTAGTTTTGTCCTGATTTTAGTCCAGATTTTAGTCCTGGTTTTAGTTCTGGTATAGTCCTGGTTTTAGACCTGGTTTAGTCCTAGTTTTAGTCCTGATTTTAGTCCTGGTTGAGTCCTGGTTTAGTCCTGACTTTAGTCCTGGTTTAGTCCTAGTTTTAGTCCTGATTTTAGTCCTGGTTCAGTCCTGGCTTAGACCTGGTTTAGTCCTGATTTAGTCCTAGTTTAGTCCTGATTTTAGTCCCGATTTTAGTCCTGGTTTTAGTTCTGGTATAGTCCTGGTTTTAGACCTGGTTTAGTCCTGGTTTTAGTCCCGGTTTTAGTCCTGGTTTTAGTCCTGGTTTAGTCCTAGTTTTAGTCCTGATTTTAGTCCTGGTTTAGTCCTGGTTGAGTCCTGGTTTACTCCTGGTTTAGTCCTGATTTAGTCCTAGTTTAGTCCTGATTTTAGTCCCGATTTTAGTCCTGGTTTTAGTTCTGGTATAGTCCTGGTTTTAGACCTGGTTTAGTCCTGGTTTTAGTCCTGGTTTAGTCCTGGTTTAGTCCTAGTTTTAGTCCTGATTTTAGTCCTGGTTTAGTTCTGGTTGAGTCCTGGTTTAGTCCTGACTTTAGTCCTGGTTTAGTCCTAGTTTTAGTCCTGATTTTAGTCCTGGTTCAGTCCTGGCTTAGACCTGGTTTAGTCCTGATTTAGTCCTAGTTTAGTCCTGATTTTAGTCCCGATTTTAGTCCTGGTTTTAGTCCTGGTATAGTCCTGGTTTTAGACCTGGTTTAGTCCTGGTTTTAGTCCCGAATTTAGTCCCGGTTTAGTCCTGGTTTAGTCCTAGTTTTAGTCCTGATTTTAGTCCTGGTTTAGTCCTGGTTGAGTCCTGGTTTAGTCCTGACTTTAGTCCTGGTTTAGTCCTGACTTTAGTCCTGGTTTAGTCCTGACTTTAGTCCTGATTTTAGTCATGGTTTTAGTCCTGGTTTAGTCCTGATTTTAGTCCTGGTTTAGTCCTGGTTGAGTCCTGGTTTAGTCCTAGTTTTGTCCTGGTTTAGTCCTAGTTTTAGTCCTGATTTTAGTCCTTTTTTTAGTCCTGATTTAATATCGGACGTTTAAACCTCAAACCTGTGCTGCTCCTTCACAAACGCCAAGAAACGAAACTGGGAAATTCTCTCTTTTCGGTCGCAGAAAACGTTTTGACGTAAACCACCTCTGACCTCTCGCACTTTCAAGTTCGGGTTCCCGCGCCGCCACCGTGACATTTCCGCTCGTGTCGTTAGAATCTTCCCCCACACAGCGCCGTCGCATTTGGGTCAGAAAAGCGAAAAGCGAGGGATGACTCCGGTTCTTCCTCTCTCTCTCTCTCTCTCCGCACATCAAACGCCGGCGTGTTTTATTCTCACCATCAAACGCATTCTTCCGGGCCGATCAAAGCCGGGCCGCGCGGTGGCGAGGTCGCTCACAGCACTTGTGCAAATTGAAATTCGGGAGTCCGCCTGATCCACGTTACGAGTGTTTTTCTTTTTCTCTTTCTTCTTCTTCTTCTTCTGCTGGTGCTGATCGGAACGACGCGGAGGGTTTCGGACGATCAGGAAGTGCGTATTAGCGGGCTAGTTGGACAAACTCTGGTCTGGTCCCAGTGGAGATTTACTGTATAAGCAACTCAACAATTCTCTCTCTCTGTTTCTCAGTCTGTTTCTCTCTGTTTCTCAGTCTGTTTCTCGCTCTCTCTCTGTTTCTCTCTCTGTTTCTCTGTATCTGTTTCTCTCTCTGTTTCTCTGTATCTGTTTCTCTCTCTCTGTTTCTCTGTATCTGTTTCTCTCTCTCTGTTCTCTCTGTTTCTCTCTCTCTCTGTTTCTCTCTCTGTTTCTCTGTACTCTCTGTTTCTCTCTCTCTCTCTCTCTCTGTCTCTCTCTCTCTCTCTGTCTCTCTCTCTCTCTGTTTCTCTCTGTTTCTCTCTCTGTTTCTCTCTCTCTCTGTTTCTCTCTCTGTTTCTCTGTCTCTGTTTCTCTCTCTCTGTTTCTCTGTCTCTCTCTCTCTCTCTGTCTCTCTTCTTCTCTCTCTCTCTCTGTTTTCTCTCTCTCTGTCTCTCTCTCTCTCTCTCTCTCTGTACTCTCTCTGTATCTCTCTCTCTCTGTTTCTCTCTCTCTTTCTCTCTCTCTCTGTTTCTCTCTCTCTGTTTCTCTCTCTCTCTGTTTCTCTCTCTCTGTTTCTCTCTCTGATCTCTCTTCTTCTTCTCTTCTCTCTCTCTTTCTCTCTCTCTCTTTTCTCTCTTCTTCTCTCTCTCTCTCTCTGTTTCTCTCTGTTTCTCTCTCTTCTCTCTCTCTTTCTCTCTGTTTCTCCTCTTCTCTCTCTTCTCTCTCTCTCCTTCTCTCTTTTCTCTTCTGTTTCTTCTCTCTGTTTCTCTCTCTCTCTGTCTCCTCTCTCGTTTTCTCTCTTCTGTTCTCTCTCTCTCTGTTTCTCTCTCTCTGTTTCTCTCTCTCTCTGTTTCTCTCTCTCTGTGTTCTCTCTCTCTCTGTCTCTCTCTCTCTCTGTTTCTCTCTCTCTGTTTCTCTCTCTCTCTATGTCTCTCTTCCTGTTTCTTTCTCTCTGTTTCTTCTCTCTCTGTTTCTCTCTCTCTCTCTCTCTCTCTGTTCTCTTCTCTCTTCTCTCTCTCTCTCTCTCTGTTTCTCTCTCTCTGTTTCTCTCTCTCTGTTTCTCTCTCTCTCTCTGTTGTTCTCTCTCTCTGTTTCTCTCTCTCTCTGTTTCTCTCTCTCTCTTTCTGTTCTTCTCTCTCTTTCTCTCTCTCTGTTTCTCTCTCTCTGTCTCTCTCTCTGTCTTTCTCTCTCTCTGTTCTCTCTCTCTCTCTGTTTCTCTCTCTCTGTGTTTCTCTCTCTCTGTTTCTCTCTCTCTGTTTCTCTCTCTCTTTCTCTGTTTCTCTCTCTCTTTCTCTCTCTGTTTCTCTCTTTCTCTATGTCTCTCTTCCTGTTTCTTTCTCTCTGTTTCTCTCTCTCTGTTTCTCTCTTTCTTTCTCTCTCTTTCTTTCTCTCTCTCTGTTTCTCTCTCTCTGTTTCTCTCTCTCTGTTTCTCTCTTTCTTTCTCTCTCTTTCTCTCTCTCTCTGTTTCTCTCTCTCTGTCTCTCTCTCTCTGTTTCTCTC